TATATATATATATATATATATATATAGTTTATTTGCCAAAACAGATGTTTTTGTAATTTTTAGATATCACATTAATTAATGTTGTGCAGTCTTTAGAAGTTTTAATCAAGCATGATTTTACATTTGAGTAATAAAGAGTTTACTTGGAAATTTGGTGAACAAAACAAATGAAAATATTAAAATGAACTCTTCATAGGCCTGTCACCTTTTAAATCTAAGATTGTTAATAGATTGAATATTCATTGGACATAAATTAAGGGAATTTTACTGGCCACACTGTGGGTGGAAACATAACCAACGCATATAGTACTATGTTCTGACTCCTTATCTGCATTAAATGATTAAAACTATAGGATATCATCTTTAAGACAGGACTTTCTGTTTGAAATTTGTGTAAAATTTTATACTAAACCTAAGAAACAGATGTTACCTTTGGGTTACAAGTTCAACTCACTAACCATTAGGTTACAACTTTCTCTATAGGTGAGCGAAGTGTGTAGACAAACGTTGTTAGACAGTTGTGAGACAGTTAAATGGTGAAGGGAGTGATCCAATAAGCCTATTGATGGAAGGTCTGTAAAGAAATTTTATGCTACCTTTTATAAAAGTATTTTATAGTATATTTAAAATTCAAAAATAAAGTATTTTATTTTGATACAATTGTGGTTGCTGTATTTAGCAGTTTATTTTGATACACTTAAAATTTATGTATTTAGTTAGTTTTTTATTGCAAAAGACCTTTCATTGTATTTTTGCCTATCCCTGATAACCACACACACACACATTTTTTATTTATTTTTCACTTTAAGCCTTTCAGAACATGCTGTCATCCTTGGTGTGAAAAGTGGTAGAGCGATTCCTGGAGCAGTTTCCTGGCACCCATGCAGAATTGCACATTTTTCTAAAAAAAAAAAAAAAAAAGACTCTAAGATTTTAATTAAAAACTACATTTTAACCCTCTCCATCTCTGCTGAAAGAAGCTCAACTTAATGTCTAATTCTACCCATCTTTAAAAAACTTCAACAACACTTGACAGGTAATGATAAGGACTCTTGCTTGACAAACAACATCAAGGACACTGGAATGGCCTCTCAAAAAAAATGTGTGTACCAGGTTTAGTGTTATCGCATTGAATTGTCACTTTTTTTATTAGCATTGTTCAGGGATTCATGCTGTTGTTGCTGTGAAGGTAGTAACATCACACAGTTTTGGAAGACAGCACTGTCTTACATCCCAGATTCAAGTCAAAGGTGGCAGATAAAGTGCAGAACAGACTGGAGCACAAGCTGATTACAAGGACCACAGAACAGGTCTAAATTGTTATTGATAAACTTCCACCTCTATTGAACTGTATAATATGAAACCTAAATATTCTGTTGATTACAGCCTCAAGTCAAGCAGATAGAGCTGAAGTTTAAAAAGAGAGCAGCAAATTCGGCAAAATAATAGTTAATCTGATGAAGACTGCATCTGCAGCAACAACACTGGTAAGAAACTCCAAAAAACATCCTTTTTTTCATTCTAATTTTGTAAGAAAATTACTTTGTTTGCAGTTTTCCTTTGTAATGTTTTATCTTGTTCTGTATTCATTTACTTATTTGTTCATAGAAGAGACCAAAGCTCTCTGCCCTTGAGAAACTGTTGTCGAGGACATGGCAGCTGAAGCAAGAGAAAAAGACACTTGTCCCCAGTATTACAGAGATTTAGACAGAGATAAATCACTACAGACGGTGTCCATCTACA